CTCCCCCCAGGACTCCTGCCCCGGGACGGGGTGCCCGTTCGTCGCCTGAACCTGGGATCATGTTTTATTTTCAGCTGGTGATCATGGCCGGCACCGTGCTACTGGCATACTACTTCGAATACACGGACACCTTCCCCGTGTACGTCCAGGGCTTCTTCTGCCACGACCGGACGCTCTCCAAGCCGTACCCGGGGCCGGATGAAGGCAGCAAGGTGCCCCCCGTGCTGATCTACTCCATGGTCAGCGCCATCCCCACGTTCACGGTAGGAGAGTGCCCGTGTCGGGGTTGGGGGCGGTTTGCATCTCTGTGTGTGTCGCATGTGACTCGCCGCGTGTTATGACGGCTTCCGCGTGTGAGACGGCGAGCCAAGGGAACAGATTGACAAGCTGTGTGGGACCGCCCCCCTCATCCCCTCGAGCCCTGATAGAGAAAGGCTGTGCGACATCACGTGGGGGGCAGACTGAGAATAAGGAGCATATGTGCATGTTTGCTGGGGGGGGGGGGGGGCTGATAAAAGTGTGCCGTGACGGCGAAGCGGGTTCATGCCGCCACTCGAGCGTGCTGCCCCCACTGGGAGGCTGAGATGCTGGCGGCGCACAGATGGGCCCCGAGGCCAGTGTGCAGGCGGGGTCGCCGAGAGCCCAGGTCATGTGACGAGGGCTTGCTGAACCGTGGCATCATTTACGTCGCTCACCCGCTTCCTGCACCCTGTCAGCTGGCAGGCCCCCTAACCGGGCTTGCGGTTCCGTAGCCGCTGCTGGGCTCCCTGACCGCGAGGCTGCTGAGGCGGGCCGGATGTCGGTACAGGACCCGCTGACGTCTGACAGCCGAGTGACGCGCTCAGTTTCTGTTTCGGGATTCCTCGCTCCGACCTTCTCAATGAAAGCCGAAATCTTTGATACAGCCCATCATTTCTGCTCCATTTCCGTTGGCCCTGAAGCCCCCCCCCCAGGATGAATACTAAATTCTTAAGTCTCCAGAGCATTTTTCTCACCTTTTATTCTAGCCTCTGGTTTATTTATTTATGCTAATTTGATTTTTGTTTTAGGAAATGCTTTCACCTTTTGGTATCCGCTGCTGGTCTTGGACTGACTGACAGTCTTTCCTGCTGCCTTTCATTGCAGGATGACTGGAGGCCTTTTCACTGGGTCACCTGCCTCATTCATGACAAAAACGCTCCTAATGCAGATGGTTAGAAAAGGAAAATCATCCAAATCACTTTCTATTCTATGTCCTTCCAGCCTTGCGCATAAGATATTGAAATAAGGCCAAAGGAGATCATTTCCATAGAAATTATTAATTATTATGTTTGGTTAAAAGCTGAATTATTTCTCATCCTTGCAGGAAACAAGTGCCGGAAACTATTATGATAATAAGTCGTCTTATCTTAATGAATCCGTGTAATTACTACAAGACCGTGCAAATGGGTGATGCGGTCGTCATGACAAACTTCTGCTCATGCAAAAGGGGGAAACTTAAAGCACAATAATTTCAAAGTCTTTCTGGTGGTTTTTTTTAAAAAAAAACAACAACCGCGACGCTGCTTGTCTCGCCGGCACTATTTCGGTGCATGTCAGATTAATTATTCCAGAGAACAAATGAACTTAAAAATCCATCTGGTGTTTATGTATATTTAAAGCTGAGCTGGAGCGCGGTCCACGTTTACCTGGAGGCACTGAGTGGGTCTTTACATAGCACATAAACACTCGCCCACGAGTGCACATCCCTGCTAAAAATACGTATGACACAGCACGACGTCAACTCCGACTTTCACACGCATTCCTCAGTGAAGAAAACTTTCAACACTGTAGTAAAACTATTGCAGCACCTGAAAGCACAGGAAGTATGAACAGCCGTTTAATCATCTTTTTTAGGGGTGTGGCTGTAAACAGAGACTCCTTGAGTCGTGGTTCTGGCTGTGAGTCTGTCTCAATCAGAGGTGAACATTTCTAGTCCAGAAAGTGAAAATCCAGACCAAGATTTTGTTTCAACCAACCAGTTGAGTACTCTGTGACTGTGGCTCTTTACGCTCAACTGGTTGGTTGAAACAAAATCTTGGTCTGGATTTTCACTTTCTGGACCTGAAATGTCCACCTCTGTTGTCATGTGACTCATAGATTTGTGGACGCCATTCACACCCAGTCTCAATATAACCAAACATAAATCGCTATCTGCTTAAGAAAGGCTTTGATTCATTCTAATTCCCGCATTTTTTGCTACATTTGCCATTTGCCACATGTTTATTGCTTGTTGCTTTTTCCTTGTCTTGTGTCAGTTGGAATATATCGAGTCATTACCGAGGCTGTTTCCATAGAGACTCGCGGAAATGGAGCAGGGTAGGGACAGCGTTTGCGCGCTGGTGGGGTTCGCGTGTTTGCTTTGCCTTAAGACCTGAGCTTCCACCTCAATGAACAACCAGCTGATTAGCAGATGGAGTTGCAGAAGCTGCCGGTGAAAGGCCTGTAATGGATGCAATACAGCCATGAGATACGGCATGGAAAGAGGTCCCATGGTGCCCACATCGTCGCTACATCAGTTCCCTAATCTCCCTCCTCTTAATTAGAGCCCTCATTGACGCTGTGTGACTAAACACTGCACAGATGACAGCCTTTGGTATTTACGCTACATTTCCTCTTTTTTAGTGATACTTTCTCGAGCCGGCTTTGACATTTTCCCCAGTGAGGGTCGGCCGTGGGTAAACATGAAGACGTACGGCCTTAGATGCAGATTATGAATGAATATCAGATGTGCTCTCCGTGCTTAAAGGACAAGGAAGATGCAGAGTCACAAAAAAGAGAGTGTCAGTCTTCACAGCACCCTGAATGCTTAACTGGTTGGTAAATGGAAGGTAGTACTTCATTAGTTTTGGAGACCATGTATCAAAAATATGATGTTCATTCTGGTGTACCACAGGGTTCTGTGCTGGGCCCCTTCTGTGCTCCCTGTATACGCTGCCATTGGGTAAAATGATCTCAGATCCTGGAGTCGGCTTCCACAGCTATGCTGATCATACTCGGTTATACGTGTCTGTAGTAATCCCAGTGCTGTCAATAAACTGGTGAGCTGTCTAATGAGTATCATGAGTTCTTTTGATTCTGAATGAAGACGAGAGTGAATTCTCCAAGTTGGCTTTGTCCATGTACGGCCAGGTTGACGATCCCTGCTTCCAGCCAATTCAGGGTCACTGGGACACACATGTGCCATTAGCAGTTAGAAATTAGCGATTAGCATTTAGTCTCAGGTTGACATTGATATGTGAGGGTGAGGGTGTGAGGATGCCAGTGTGTGTCTCCTGCTTAGGACAGCTGTTGTTGAAATATATGCGACACGGATGCATAATGAGATTAAGGCCCTTTGTATGAGAGTTTCTGAGCTGCTTTCCCAGAACACGAGTGTAAAGGGACTGAGGATGCAGTCGATTACCTCATTTACCTGCTCTCACTGCCTCCAGCCTGCTGCCCCTTTTCAGCCGCACTCCCCGAGAATATGCCGGCCGCCCCTTTGATTCTTCCTGGGGGGAGAGGGAGAGGCTAGGAGAGAGACGGAGGGCAAGATGGGGTTGGGGGAAGACGGCGGGATAAGGGACAGATGGACTCAGCGAGAGGACCACGCCGCATGCCGCTCCCAGTGCATGATGGGAGAGGATCGGGAGGGATTTTCACCACAGAGAGAGAGCAGTGGGGAGGTAACTGGATGGGCATGAAATGGTGTTTGACAGGGGCTGGGGGACCTTGTGAGAGCCCCCCCCCCCCCCCCCCACAGTTCACACATGGTCGGCCAAGGTGTTCTCGTCAGTCTGAAAGTGAGAAGAGGAGGGAAGATGGAGGGAAGGAAAAAGAGCACTAGAGGAGGAGTGTAGGCAGAAGGCATGAAAGGAAGTGGGGTCCTGTGTGACCTTTTGCTGCCCCTGGTAGGTGATGCCCCCAGGAGCAGCCAACATCTTGACAGGAAGTGGTCATGTGACTGGAATCTGCCTCCATTTCCTCCCTGATCTCCCTCCCGTGTGCCCTGATTCCTCTCCCTTTGCCTTTCCCTTCTTTCTTTAATTTCCTTTCACTGATTCCTCTTTTTATTGCCTATGCTGCTCGTTCTGCCTTTTCTGTGCCCCCGCCCCTCGGTGCCACCCGCTCCATCACTCTGTTTATGAAATGCCCTGTTGTTCTGTATGCTGTCGGCGTTACAGTGACATGACCTCACAGCTCACGCCACCTGAACTCCTATTAACGCATCATCCCGAATCGCGAGCGTTTGTTTCCGTGGGTAAGTACATTGGCTGGGTCTGTGCGTTTTTATGTCTTTGTGAAGCTCCATTGACATGATGCTGTATTTGCCATTTGCAGAAGTATGAGTGCAGGTATGGCTGCTCCTTTGAGACACGCACTCATACTGCCAAGAGTATAGCATGGTGTTTGAGGGCAGGGTGGGGCCAATTATCCAGCACCCCTTGAGTAATGCGGGGGGGTTAAGGTCCTTGCTCAAGTACCCAGTGGTGTCGTCAGTGTGCCGACCCCGGGATTCAAACCAGTGACCTTCCGTTCGCAGGCACTGAGCCCTATCTTGCCGAGCCTCACAGCGCCATCGTGTGCAGCATGTTGTGCCTTAGCACCGTCCTGACTGCTGATCAGAATCAGTCGCTGTTTTTCTGTACATTAAGTATGAAAAATAAGGGAAAGGGGTTTCAAATCGATTCAAATGACATATATATTTTATAGGTTTAAATGCCGCACATTTTAAATGCTTCTTTTTTTTTTAAACAGTCGATTGATTACCTGCCCTGTGAATTTCACTGTGCCGTTTGATTTTCGCATTTGGGGGCCATTGCATTATTTATCTGCGTGCTGACTTGCATCGTTGATTTTCGAATCATGTTATAAATATTAACACGCTAATCACTCATCTGTGAAAGGATGCGGGGTTCCTTCTTCGAGCACCTGCCCCCCCTACAGTATCAGGCTAACACTGGTGGGAGCGGTTATGGAGCTTACGGACTGCACTGGCTTGTAAAAGAGCAGCTCTGAAACCTGATGGCTGGACTTCTTAGGCATGGATAAAAGTGTTGGTTACGGTGTGGAAAAATGACTAAAGCGCGAGACTTTTCCATAAATGCTTCCGGTAAAACCATCTAAACCCCCCCCAGCCCATTTCTGTGGGGATCTTTGTTCTTGTTGACATGTCTGTTGTCTGGTCTTATTAAAATCGCAGTCAGCAGTACTGAAAGCAGGAGCGCCCCCCCCCCTGCCCTGTGCTGCGCGACAGCCACACGCTGCAGTTTGATGCATGCCCCCCCCCCGTGCTGCGCAACAGACACACGCTGCAGTTTGATGCATGCCCCCCCCCCCGTGCTGCGTGACGACACACGCTGCAGTTTGATGTCCAAAGCTATTT